GTTGCCTGATAAATTATTGCTGCAAAGCTCTTTTGCAATATAAGATATTAAGAGTTGGAATCTTACAAGGGTACCTGTGAAATTTACTAAATGTAGAATATAAATGTCTTAACACAGTAACTAAGAAAATGCCTGAAGGCTATGTTAACCAGTTTGATGAAAATATTTCAAATCATATATAAAACCAGCACATTGTACCCCATGATTGCATTGATGTACACAGCTATGATTTAATTAAAAAAAAAAAAAGGGTTGGAAATCCCTTGAAATGTTAGGTCTCTATCTTACCACCTATTAGATCTAGGCCATTGAAGTTCCTAAAGACTCACAGCTTAAGTCGTGGCTATGTTGATTTGCTTGAATAAATATAGCTCCTGGGATACTAACTGAGAAAATGAGAAATTACTGCATACTTTGGATTTCTCAAGTATTTTGAACATTACAAAATTGCTAGCCATAAATTTATTTTTTGAGTAGGACATTAGGTTACATCCAATTGGAACTGAATAATTGTTTTATTAGTCAAACTATCATCACTATTATTACAAATGCCAAACAAATATGTTGTTTACTTATAAAAGTCACGAGCACATCCTATTAATGGAGAGTGTGAGAATAACATTTCTTAAGAATACTACCAAAAGAACATTGTGGTAAGAAATTTTATAAATATTCATGTACTATTCACAATAATCTTATTCAATAGGGTTTCCTATCATCTCTGTTTTGTAGATAAGGATATTGAAATTCATGGTGAACTGTCCAGGAATTCACAGAGCTACTGGAAGTGTAAGAACCATCTCAAATCCAGTTTATTGGGCTCCAATGTCCACGCTCTAGACTACTATATTAAACTTTCCATTGAATGTTATCTCCACATATTCTTTGAAGCTTTTGCTAGAAATTCAAAGAGTATAAGCTTGACTCTTTTTAAACACCTCGAAGACAACACCCATGTCAAGGCTGGTCTGATCTCTAGTTAACTGGAGCTATAATGAATGTTTAATTTAAATGAGTTGATTGGCTGAGGACAAGGTTAATGTGTGTACAGTGTAAATGTTAATTTTCATCTAAGTGAGTACTCTGTCAGAACAATGTTTTGCAAAACAACCATTATCTTTCAAATATAATTATCTTTATTGCCATTGTCAGGAAAACAAGACAGAGTAGCATGATCAGTAGCCTAAATAGACACTAATGTTTCTTTTAAGATGTCAACAATGCTTTTTTAAAAAAAATATGGGCTTAGTTATTTAGAAAATACTCATTAAGTTTTAGCATAGGCATATTACTGCTTAGCTATGACCTCAAACCACTTTTTACATCTTCATAAGCCTTTCCTAATACTTGCTACACTGGTCCCTCCATTCCTAAGTTTGAAAGTCCTCTTTTCTCATTAATGTAGTTTAGTCTTGCGCTTAAAAAATAAAGGCTTACATTTTCTGT